AGTGTCCAGCTACCATGGGATGTTTAATGGATTTGGGTACCTAAGGCTTAATGTTGCAAAAGTGCCCAACTCACTTAGGCTGCTAAGTGAGTTGTACGCTTTGGAAAATTCTACCCTAAATCCTGCAGGCTCTCTTGCAAATCCCAGCCTTAGATGCTGAATTTGAAAGTGATGTTAAAAATAAGCTGAAGCTAAAAAATACCCCAGGTATCTTGAATAATCTAGGCCAGTGATACTCAGACTGAGGCCCGTGAGCCACAAGTGGCTCTTCAATGTATCTCCTACAACTCCTTGTAGCACATGATATTAAACAACTGTGTAATTTAATTATTAACCAATCAGGATGCTTTTACCATGTTATTACCCAACTCTAGTTGATAAGATGATAATACTTGATCAGGACATGGGCGGTGGGTGGAGCCCCCCTTTGGGGAGGCTAGCCCTAGCTCCACCCCTTCTGCCCCTGTGGCTGGACCACCACGACCCCGAGTCTCCCACCACCTGCCTGGAGGAGTCCCGGGCCAGCTGCAGCTGCTCCACGCCTCTCCTTCCCTTCCCTCCCCAGACCCCAAGTGGCGCGGGGAAAAGCATCTCTCAGGTCTGGAAGAAGCTTTTGATATGTCCCATGCAGGTTCCGGCGCGGCTGAGAAGGCAGTATTTGCAGTACAGTAACTCCTCGCTTAATGCTGTAGTTATGTTCCTGAAAAATGCAACTTTAAGCGAAATGATGTTAAGTGAATCCAATTTCCCCATAAGAATTAATGTAAATGGGGGGGTTAGGTTCCAGGGAAATTTTTTTCACCAGACAAAAAACTATGTATTGTATTTTATATACACACACACACTATATATTTTAAACAAACAATTTAATACTGTACACAGCAATGATGATTGTGAAGCTTGGTTGAGGTGGTGAAGTTGGTGGGTGGGAATTTCCCAGGGAATGCCTTACTGCTAAAGGATGAACTAGCTTTTGGCTGAGCCCTCAAGGGTTAACACATTGTTGTTAATGTAGCCTCACACTCTACAAGGCAGCATGAATGGAGGGAGGGGACATAGCATGGCAGACAGGAACAGACACACACCCTGTGTGTGGGGAAGAGAGAGAGAGATGCACATTGCCCCTTTAAGTATGCTGACCCAACTCTTAAGAACATTTCTTTTTAAGTCAATTAGGAAGTTGAGATAGCAGCTGCTGCCCCAAGCTCGCTCTCTCTGTGTCCCCACCCTGCTCTATGTGGAGAAGGGGTAAGCAGGGTGCAGGAGTAGGGGGACATGCTGACAGCCACCCCATTCCCCTCCCCGCACAGGAAGCAGGAGGCTCCCGGGAGCAGGAGCAGCTCCAAGGGGAGGGCAGGAGCAGCACATGGCAATGTGGGGAGGGACAGCTGAACTGCCGGCAACTGATAGCCTGCTGGGCGGCTGCTGCACAGGGAACTTAGGAGAGCAGGGGGCTGCCGGTCCACCCTGGTGCCAAGCCCCCACCAGCTAGCTCCAACGGGCTGCTCTTCCTGCAAGCAGTGGACAAAGCAGGCGGCTGCCAAACGGCCTTATAAGGAAGCATTGCACAACTTTAAACGAGCATGCTCCCTAATTGATCAGCAACGTAACAATGAAACGTTAACCAGAGCGACTTTAAGTGAGAAGTTACTGTATTCGGACTCCAGGGAGATTACTGATGAACCCAGAAAGCTGAATAGCACATACTTCCTCCTCAGCCACCCTGGAATCTGCATGGGGCACAATAAAAACTCCCCCCCGCCCCCAAAACCCCAGAATTGGGGATCTGGCGGCCATGGCACCCTGACCTATTATACCCGCCACCCATGGATCAGTCATTTTCCTGTGAGATATTCTCTCTCTCTCTCTCTCTCACTCAATGAATGAATTCACACTACTCTGGCTCTTTTGGGTCATGTTGATTGCTAATTTGGCTTCTCAACCACTGAGGTCTGAGTATCACTGATCTAGGAAGTTCTTTTTCTCTGTTTCCCCCTCTTCCTTTTATTCCAAGCAGTTTCTATTGCTGTCTTACAGGCGGCAAGGAAGCTTATACACCTCTGTTAAATTTTTTCCTTTTAAGGTTTGCAAACAAGTCTAGCTTGCTTTATGTCTATATGCAGCGCTCTTCAGGTAAGGCAAATGTTTACAATAGTATTTACTTTGTAGAAAGTACATTTTTATATATTTATATATATAAAGATCAATTTCCCTCTTGGAGTGTCTCTGGTGTGTGGATAATTTGTTTTCCTGAAATTAAAGTGACTATATTGGAAGGGCAAGCTACAATCCAACTGTTTGCAGCCTTTTTCTGCAAAGTCTGCTCTGTGGGAGACCTTGTGAGGAGCTGTTTGATGTCAGGGCATGTCTCGGAATTTCAGTCAGAATCTGCTATTCCTCTTGGAGCTACCTCTGTAGGCCAAATCCTGTTTGTATTGAAATGAATGAGAGTTCTCCACTGATTGTGATATCTGGATTTGAACCCCCTGATTATTTTGGTAACACATGGAGTCAAAAATTAACATACAATTTTTGTTTGTAATCTTCAAACAGGAACCCTTACAAGGAAATAGTACTTAAAGTTCAGTTTGGTGCTAAGATTTAGACTTGCTGTTTAATTCATTATAGGAGAGGTATGTTTTTCAAAATAATTCTTTCCACGTATATTTAAAATAAAAGTTAAATATGCTGCAATTCTTAACCTAAATAACAGATTGTGCTCTTTCTGTTTTCCTCATGACATTTTGCAGACATACGGGAACCTCCTACACATCAGAATGTTTCTGACGGATAAAACGTTATTTTGTAAGATTTGATTATAGTGATTTTTCTGACATGCCTGGGATTTCACACTTGATAATTCATGCTTGGTGTTCAATTCTGTAGAGAAACAATACCAAAGTACAGTGTCTTTCTTGACTGACTAAATAATCAGACCAGTTCTATATCTCTGAGTTATAATCACGATGTTTGCAGCAAATGTAATGTTTTTGTATGTTTGTTTGTCTCAGATGATTTATTTTATATTTACCTACTTTAAGTGAGCAGAATCCAGAAACTTATGTAGGTTCCAATTCAATAAAACACTTAAGCACATGCTTAACTTTAAGCATGAGCTTAAGCCCATCCTTAGTCAACTGAAACACTTATGCTAAAGGAGCCAAAAAAGTGGTCAGAAACTTCACTATGGTGATTTTTGCTTACATGCACAGGGTTGAATTGATTTCTTTAATAACTGTAAATTTAGCATTTTTCATAGATTCCTAGACCCAAGGGACCATTGTAATCATTCATCTATAACACAGGCCATAGAATTTCCCCTAAATAATTCCTAGAGCAGATCTGTTAGAAAAACATTCAGTTTTGATTTAAAAATTGTCAGTGATGGAGAATCCACCTTTGGTAAATTGTTCCAATGGTTAATTACCATCACTGTTAAAAATGTATGCCTTATTTCCAGTCTGAATTTGTCTAGCTTCAGCTTCCAATCATTGGGTCATATTATTCCTTTCTCTGCTAGACTGAAGAGCTCATTATCAAATATTTGTTCCCTATCTAGGAACTTATTGACTGTAATCAAGTCACCCCTTAATCTTTTTTTGATAGACTCTATGAGCTCCATCTGTTTAGCCTATCACTGTGAGGCATGTTGTCTAATCCTTTAATCATTCTCTGAACCCTCTCCCATTTATCGACATCATTCTTAAATGGAGGACACAGAACCATATTCCAGCAGCAGTCACACCAGCGTCAAATACAGAGGTAAAATAATCCTTCTATTCCTGCTCGAGAGCCCCCTAATTGTGCATCCAAGTCCTGCCATAGCCATTTCGGCCACAGTGTTCCAGTGGGATTGATTATCCACCACAACCCCCAAAGTGTGTTCATGTATGCAAGAAAGTGGGAGTCAAATCTCAGGCCTGGTCTACACTGGGGGTGGGGGAATCGATCTAAGTTACGTAACTTCAGCTACGTGAATAAAGTAGCTGAAGTCGACATACTTAGATCTACTCACCATGGTGTCTTCACTGCAGTGAGTTGACAGCTGACTCTCCCCCGTTGACTCCACCTGCACCTCTCGCTCCAGTGAGTACCGGAGTCGACGGGAGAATGCTCGGTGGTCGATTTATTGTGTCTAGACTAGACATGATAAATCAACCCGTTGCCCATTGATCCTGCGGGTAATGCAGACAAACCCTCAGTTTCAAAGGAGTCTCAACCCAGCCTCCATTTTTGTGCATACAAGTTTGTATCCAAAATGACTGTGCATATTTTTAGCACAAACACGTGCATGCAGTTGATATACATTCCATCAGGTGCATGCATAGGTGTGTTAGTGCTGGAAAAGTTAACATGGGAATGGTTGCAAGTGAGTACAACTTTGCATGAAGGAGGCTGCTTTTTAAAATATTGTCCAGATCATGTCTTTCCTTCTAGCATCGATCATCTGTTAGGCTCAGGTGGGTGTGTTCCAAATCATAAATTTCCTGTGATTGGTGGCTAGAAGGCAAACTTTGGTGGACCTTGACCCTTTCAATCTTTTCCTTGTTTATTTCTGTTAAAGTTTGGAATGCTATTCATTTCAAATAATTTATTCAATGACTTTAGCTCATTTCTCTGTTGATCTTTATCCACAGAGCGAATTAAATTTTTAGGAATCTATTCAAGATTCAAACTTTTTTATCACATGGTTTATGGAGATACGTTTCAACCAATGACTTTGGGGTGAACTATTTATCACAATAATCAATATGAGTATTTTACTCATGCTGTGCGAGTACGGATCTAAGTCCCATGAAGTCTTTGTGAGTTTGAAGTTATTAAATCAAGGGTGGAAATGAGGGTCTGCCTTTTCTTAACACTTGATAATCTCCCTTTGGCCCTTATCCAGCTACTAAAATTTTGGCTTCCATTTTTTCCTCTCCCTCCTGGAAACCTATATCTTCCTCAGGGACTAACAACCATTTTGGTGAACCCTAATGAAGTGTTTGTTCACTTACAGTGATGGCATGGGTCGTTTAATCCTCATAATGTGGTCAGCGTCGTCTTGCTGGAGTCTATCTTCTGCCTCGCCCCCATAACCACTGTCCTCCGTATCCATGCTGTCACTGCGACATTTATGTATCTCTAACTCTGGGACTTTATCCTCTTGTTCCATCTGTTTCCAACCCTTGGTTAGCTCTGTCACCAGATTTGAGCACTTCCTTCGCCTTGTAGGAGACATTTTGTCACCAAGGATTTTGTCAAAATTACTTGACTCCTCCTTGCACCCGCAGATCTCTGGGCTCCCATTATCCTTCTCATATCTATCACTGAGGAGGCTAATGTCATTTCCTCTTTCATAGACTTTACTTACAACGGTTTTGGTCACTTCTTTGCTTTTAATGTTAAGCTTTCTGAGAGCTTCATCAGATTCACTTGTATCTTTTTCTACATCCCCTTTAGCCACTGCCTCCTTCCCTGAGGATTTTTCCTCACCCTTTTCTTGGTTGCTCTTAGTAGAAACAGTCCATCTTGATAATAGCCTTTCTTTTGGTGGCTCAGTTGGTGGTTCTTCTGCATTGGGCATCCATCCTGGGGGCTCTTGGGCTTGCTTTGTGTTGTGGTCGCTTGCCCACTGTTGCCAGCCTCGTGCCAAGCTGATTACTAGGCTGGTGGTTCGGATCTTTTTGATGGCCCTTTTTGCAGGCATAGCTTTTTGGCTTTCTTCTGGAGGCATGTTGCTGTCTGCTGCTGCTGCTTCTCTCTCTCTTGTGGTAACCACCTAGTGAATGAATATCCTAGACTGAATAACTTCCAGAGGAGAGAGCTACAGGGATTTAAATAGAAGCAGGGGGATATTGGAAACTATGTGAAGCATTTCTCACAGATATAGTGCCCCTACTCTGACAGCGTTCTTTTTTTAATACCTCACGGCTTGCATTTTGTCTCCGCAGATGGACACTGCATAAGGTAAACAAAGATGACACAGACTGCCTACTCTTCTGCAGCAGCCCTGTAGAAATTAAGAGCTCCTGTAAAACCCCTCTCTAGGGTCTCTCTAGTCCTGAATTTGCGTGACAGTAACCGGGTCTTACTTTTCTTAAAAGTGTTTGACTTATGGCAAAGATATTGGACAAAGTGATCAGTCCTACAAGGAGCTGAACCCCCTCAATTGCCAGTGACTTCAGGAGGAATAGAGGCCACACAGCACCATGTATAAAATCTAATCTTAATTGCATCATGCTAATCCGGCAATTTTACCATGATACGAGATTTTAGATATACTTCCTGAAAAGAGTCTTGGTGATTTTTTAAAATGCACATTATAAATCATAGCCAAAGGATTTTAGCATGTTTTCTTTAATTACTCAAGTACTTTATCCATTATGTCATTATCTGTCTATTACCATTTGTCTTGTCTATGTAGAATGTACACTCTATGGAGCTGGGACCATCTTATACTATGGGGTTGTCCAATGCCTGGAAAAAGGGGGCCATGAGCCCTGATCACTACAAATATTAATAATAAATGTGAGTAGATTTGAAGGATACCAGATCTTGTGTTTTTAATCAGAGTTTTCAGAAGAGGAAGCTGCCTCTTCTTATTCCTGAAGATGCAGATAAAATCTAGTATCTATTTGGTCATAGTATATCAGGATTCATACCCCCTGAAGATAGGGTTTATTTGTTTGCTTTGTGAACAAGAGATTTCCTCAGATAAAGCTCAGTGGTATGTTGTTTCCTGGTATAATGTTTCCTAAGTAGGAAAAGAAAACAGCATCACTTTTTTCATCCCACATGCAGAGCAGTTTGCTGGGGGATCTGCAGTCCTTTCCAAGTTTCAGAGTAGCAGCCGTACTAGTCTGTATCCGCAAAAAGAAAAGGAGTACTTGTGGCACCTTAGAGACTAACAAATTTATTAGAGCATAAGCTTTCATGAGCTACAGCTCACTTCATCGGATGCATGCAGTGGAAAATACAATAGGAGGATTTTATATACACAGAGAACATGAAACAATGGGTGTTACCATACACACTGTAACGAGAGTGATCAGGTAAGGTGATCTATTACCAGCAGGAGAGAAAAAAAAACTTTTGTAGTGATAATCAAGGTGAGCCATTTCCAAGAGTTGACAAGAACGTGTGAGGAACAGTGGGGGTGGAGGGGGAATAAACATGGGGAAATAGTTTTACTTTGTGTAATGACACATCCACTCCCAGTCTTTATTCAAGCCTAATTTAATGGTGTCCAGTTTGCAAATTAATTCCAATTCAGCAGTCTCTCCTTGGAGTCTGTTTTTGAAGTTTTTTTGTTGAAGAATTGCCACTTTTAGGTCTGTAATCGAGTGACCAAAGAGATTGAAGTGTTCTCCAACTGGTTTTTGAATGTTATAATTCTTGATGTCTCATTTGTGCCCATTTATTTGTTTATGTAGAGACTGTCCGGTTTGGCCAATGTACACGGCAGAGGGGCGTTGCTGGCACATGATGACATATATCATATTGGTAGATGTGCAGGTGAACGAGCCTCTGATAGTGTGGCTGATGTGATTATGCCCTCTGATGGTGTCCCCTGAATAGATATGTGGGCACAGTTGGTAATGGGCTTTGTTGCAAGGATAGGTTCCTGGGTTAGTGTTTTTGTTGTGTGGTTGCTGGTGAGTATTTGCTTCAGGTTGGGGGGCTGTCTGTAAGCAAGGACTGGCCTGTCTCACAAGATCTGTGAGAGTGATGGGTTGTCCTTCAGGATAGGTTGTAGATCCTTGATGATGGTTTTAGTTGGGGGCTGAAGGTGATGGCTAGTGGCGTTCTGTTATTTTCTTTGTTGGGCCTGTCCTGTAGTAGGTAACTTCTGGGTACTCTTCTGGCTCTGTCATCTGTTTCTTCACTTCAGCAGGTGGGTATTGTAGTTGTAAGAATGCTTGATAGAGGTCTTGTAGGTGTTTGTCTCTGTCTGAGGGGTTGGAGCAAATGCGGTTGTATCGTTGAGCTTGGCTGTCGACAATGGATCGTGTGGTGTGGTCTGGATGAAAAATGGAGGCATGTAGGTAAGTATAGTGGTCAGTAGGTTTCCGGTTAGGGTGTTTTTTATGTGACCATCGCTTATTAGCACTGTAGTGTCCAGGAAGTGGATCTCTTGTGTGGACTGGACCAGGCTGAGGTTGATGGTGGGATGGAAATTGTTGAAATCATGGTGGAATTCCTCAAGGGCTTCTTTTCCATGGGTCCAGATGATGAAGATGTCATCAGTGTAGCGCAAGTAGAGTAGGGGCATTAGGGGATGAGAGCTGAGGAAGCGTTGTTCTAAGTCCGCCATAAAAATGTTGGCATACTGTGGGGCCATGCAGGTACCCATAGCAGTGCTGCAAATACATTTGTTAGTCTCTAAGGTGCCACATGTATTCCAGTCCTTTCCAAGTGACCCAATGGGGCAAATTCATCTACAGAGGAATTCTGTTGAATTCCCTGAGGTTGTACCAGAAATAAATTTTGATTCAGAGATGTACTGCTTGAAAATAATCATCTGGGCTAAACAGATCTAACTGAAAGTCAGGGAGGAATTGAAGACCTTTGTCCTTAATAATATTGTGCCATTGGTTTTTAGGGAGAATTCTTCATTAGTCTCAAAAAAGATTTCATCTTAAAAATTGATAGCAATATTTGGCCATATCCATGCCATTTAATATTTGTCTTTACTTTAGTCTGAAATTTATGACCTCAGTAACAGTATAACTTTGTAACCTAGTATATTTAAAAAATATAAAAATAAGATAATATTACGATCTGTATTGAAACAACTTTAGTAAAGTGTACTCTTTGCCTTATTTTTCTAGAAGAATCTTACAATTTTTATATGTGGTGCTATTACTAATAATTAAGGCTACATTTTAGTCACGGGTATTTTTAGTAAAAGTCATGGACAGGCCATGGACAGTAAACAAAAATACACAGCCCATGACCTGTCCATGACTTGTGTTATATACCCCTGACTAAATTTTGGGGGAGGGGGTAATCTGGGGGGTGCCGTCAGTGTGGAGCAGGGCGGATGGTGGCATGCAGCCCAGGATCCCCGCTGGTGCTGGGGTGAGGAGGGTTGGCGGGGTTGGCAGTATCCCTATCTGGCTCTGTGCCTCCCCGGAAGTGGTGACATCCCCCTCCTTCAGCTCCTAGGTGGAGGCATGGTCGGACAGTTCTGTGCGCTGCCTCTGCCCTGAGCACAAGCTCCACAGCTCCCCTTGGCCGGGAACAGCAACCAGTGGGAGCTGCAGAGGTAGTGCCTGCAGGAAGAGGCAGCGCGCAGAGCTCCCTGACCACGCCATTATCTTTCAAAACTCGTGGTGATAGGGGGAGGTCTCGGAAAAAGACAAACATAGTGCCCATCTTTTAAAAAGGGAAGAAGGATAACCCAGGGAACTACAGACCAGTCAGCCTCACCTCAGTCCCTGTAAAAATCATGGAGTAGATCCTCAAGGGAACCATTTTGAAGCACTTGGAGGGGAGGAAGGTGATCAGGAACAGTCAACATGGATTCACCAAGGGCAAGTCATGCCTGACCAACCTGATTGCCTTCTATGATGAGATAACTGGCTCTGTGGATATGGGGAAAGTGGTGGACATGATATATCTTTACTTTTGCAGAGCTTTTGATATGGTCTCCCACAGTATTCTTGCCAGCAAGTTAAAAAAGTATGGATTGGATGAACTGACTGCAAGGTGGATAGAAAGCTGGCTAGACTGTTGGGCTCAACGGGTATTGATCAACGGCTTAATGTCTAGTTGGCAGCTGGTATCAAGCAGAGTGCCCCGGGGTCGGTCCTGGGGCCAGTTTTGTTCAACATCTTTATTAATGATCTGAACAATGGGATAGATTGCACCCTCAGCAAGTTCGCGGATGACACTAAGCTGGGAGGAGAGGTAGAAATGCTGGAGGTAGGGATAGCATCCAGAGTGACCTAGACAAATTGGAGGATTGGGCCAAAAGAAATCTGATAAGGTTCAACAAGGACAAGTGCAGAGTCCTGCACTTAGGACGGAAGAATCCCATGCACCGCTACAGGCTGGGGACCGACTAGCTGAGTGGCAGTTCTGTAGAAAAGGATCTAGGGATTACAGTGGATGAGAAGCTGGATATGAGTCAGCAATGTGCCCTTGTTGGCAAGAAGGCTAACGGCATATTGGGCTGCTTTAGTAGGAGCATTGCTAGCAGATCAAGGGACGCGATCGTTCCCCTCTATTCGGCCCTGGTGAGGCCACATCTGGAGTATTACGTCCAGTTTTGGGGCCCCCACTACAGAAAGGATGTGAACAAATTGGAGAGAGTCCAGCGGAGAGCAATAAAAATGATCAGGGGGCTGGGGTACATGATTTATGAGGAGAGGCTGAGGGAACCGGGCTTATTTAGTCTGTAGAAGAGAAGAGTGAGGGTGGTGAAGCACGGGAATGGGTTACCTAGGCAGGTGGTGGAATCTCCATACTTAGAGCTTTTAAGGCCTGGCTTGACAAAGCCCTGGCTGGGACGATTTAGTTGGTATTTAGTTGCTTTGAGCAGGGGGTTGGATTAGATGACCTCCTGAGGTCTCTTCCAACCCTAAACTTCTATGATTCTAAGAAATGGACATTGCTTCTACTTTGTTCTTAAATTACATATTAAAGACTTCCTCCATACCTTCAGTTCTGCTGTTTTCCTAGCTAAACAACTCTACTCCAAATTAATTGAATCCCACACCTGCCGTCTCAGCTATCTTTTCAACACCACTGACTCACTCTTCAAATCTTCCCCCACCTTCTGCCTTTGTTTCTCTCAT